AACTCAAGCCTTTGAGTCGAACTCGAATAACCAGCCTCCAAACCTCCAACAGGTAAATCGATAGTTAGAAAAGCAAATATTACGTCCCTAGTCCATAACACTCAGAGGACAATTGACAAATCCACCTCCTTTTTTAATTAACTACAGTAATGATATATTTCTCTGCCACGTATTCTCATTAAATTAAAAGAGATTTTAGATGTTGCTTACCGCGTAATATCCGAAATATATTTTTGTTGGTACGTAACTTCTTGGATTATATCCTGATAAATAAATCCTTTGCTAAGGCTTAGTTTGGAAGGACTACAAATACAAATGTATAGAGTATAAATATATACAAAATATAAAATTTTGTAGTCTATAAATTTATATTTGTGCTCCTTCCAAACACAGCCTAAGATAAAAATAAAAAAAGCTACCAACCTCACCGTTGTTATTCTTAAGATAGGCAAATTATTAGTCAATAGTCAGAGTCAATCTTTGTTGCTGAAGGCAGGCCCAAGACCACAACACCGAAAGACTCTACCAACTCGGACATCAACGGGGATTTGATAATCAAATCCAATCTTACAGCACTACTAAGCCATTCTTTTAAAATTTAAGAAGTTATTCTCCTTACAAATTAGCTTTATCCATTTGTGAGGAATTCAACTTTGATTGAGTTGCTCTTATTAAACCACTTTTGAAGAAACTATTAAAAATGGTTTGGGAAAGTCATTTTCTTTGCTTAATGAAAATGTATTTGGAATTCTTAGGGTTTTCACCAAATATAATTGTTAGTTTTCATTTGTTTCCCAATAAATAGGGGCAGGTAAGTTGGTAGGTTTTATGGAAAAGAAATAAATTTAAGTTTGTTTTCTAGCGTTAGTGGGTTCAACGGAAAGGAATGATTCCTAGGTGATGCATTACTTGAAAAAGTAATATTTTTCTCAGATTTAGAGGCAATATTATCCCCTCAATAAAATCACATTTTTAGATAAATTAATCATTATATACTTTTGCATGAAGAATAAAAGAATGTTTATAAGTGCAGAAATAAGTGTATTTACCCAAATAAATCATTTCCAAACATTTGAGCGAGGTAGGAAATCCACGTAACAAAATCCAAATGCCGCTGCCTAAAAGTCACTCTCAAAGGGAAGACTTTCCTACAGCAGCTTGTTTGCAGGGTAGATTGTGTTCAATGAAAACCCTAAGAAAGCTGAAAACACCATCATTGAGCTAAGAAATTGATTTTCCAGTGAAGTTAATGCAACTCAATCAACGAAGCCTCCGAAAATTAAGACTCTTAATATTAGGATTTATTGGAGTAGGAAAAAAAAGTTTTGAATTCAAAATCCCTGTTTGGCTGTTTCTTCAAAATTCAAATGAATCTCATGTACACTTTCTTTTTGTCCTAACAATGTTTTAAAAATTGACCTGAAATCAAAACTGTTTTAGTCATCAATTTTTGGTCAGTAGTTCGACTGTCCGATTCAATTTAAAAAATTAAAAGAAAAACCGTCAAAGTCATTGTTCAGGTTAAATTGACCAATTCAATGGGTATTTTTTGCGTTAAGAATGAAATAGAACCGGTTATCTGAATAATTTCCAGTTGACCAAACAGCCTAATCGTTCAGATCAATGATGGCTCGAAAACCATTGTAAAACACCAAAAATGTTGATTTTTTATTTTAACCTTTACTAATTGTGATTACATGCATAACCATCACGGCATCACCGAACTTATGGACAGAATGAGGTAATTGGCTTGACAATTCTTTTTGGTCACAATTGTCTCTTCTGCCATCGTTATCCTCAATTAACAGTCGGATGTTTGTCTAATTCAAAAACGTCAGTAATACCATTGGTGCTGCATTCTTTGCACTTCTTTCCATTCATTTCTCACTTATTTCTCAATTGACCAAAGCAACTAATTATGTTTCGTTCATACTTTGTTTTCGTCGGATTTTTCTCCATGCGTTAAGCTCCTGATTTTCAAATCATCCAACTTGGAGTTTATATGAATGTCCAATTAATATATTGTAAATAGTTTAACAAATATGAATAGTTGCCTAAATTGGGACGAACAGGGTCTGTATGATGAGGTTGGATATCGTTTCTTGTATTTGCATGTGGTAATATCTCTAAGACAAAATTATTTATAATTCATTTACGGTTTTTGACAGTTGTAAATAGTAAGTTTCTAAAACAAGAGTAAAAGATATATATGTCCTCTTTATGCCCATTGTATGTTTAGACAAAAAAGATAGGAAACATCCAATGAAAATTCCAGAAAAAAAGGACATTCGCTCTTTTATAGATAGCATAGATATGCATCAAGAGTGAAGAACCAAGTACAAATAAGTCTTTGTTGCACATGTAATAGAATATAATATAATTATATGACATAAATGAATGATCTGTTTGGTTTGTGGTTGAAATTGGAATCAAAGTCGGTATTGCCTATTCTCCCACTGTTTGGTCAATATGAGAATTCGAATTAGATTCTATAAGATATCCATGACTTGTAAGGAGAATTCAGGTCACTTAAAGAGAAATAGGATTATAGGGGTTAAGTCATTTGTCTTTTTCTTTTAAACAATTGGAATGGGATTTCATTCCGAAGGGGTAAGGCCAGAATGGCCATTCCTTCAAATGACAGTCATTTGCTAAGAATGGGAAGCAGAATCTCATTTTACTCAACAGCTGAAAGCGGAATGAGCCATTCCGGTTCTAATTACAAACGCCCTATTCTCATCTCACCAACCGAATGGACCCAATATTTTTTGATTTTTTGTTTAATTGCATGCCCAAAATCATTTCATGCAACAAGACCCATTAAGTGGCCTTTGTCACTATCATTCTGGTACCAACTAAAAAATATGCACTTTCCTCCGAGTGACCATTCTTTTTGGGTTCCACTATGATATCGAAAAAACTTATGATTTTATACTATGCATTATTCATAATTTTCCCCAGTTCCTTGGATTCCATTTTTTCCTCAAAGTACTGATTGTGGGATTTGATTCCACATCAAAACTGGAACAAACCAGCTAATAAACCAATGAGTCAGCCCTCCATTGGCTAAAAACTCTTCCAATACCATAAATGTGGTAGTCACTCAAGTGTTATTTATCAAAATTCATGGATGGGTTTTGATTGGTCAAAACTCCTCCAATACCATATCTTTTAGACATCATAGATTTTCTTATTTTGTTTTCCAAATAGATCACCTCCTTTCTCTCTCTCTCCCCAAAATAGTAGAGATGTAAGGATAGGCTTTGCTACCAATTATTATGTACTTTACCAATGTGTCAGAGATCAAGTATGTGTTTGGAACCGTAGATGTTTATTGACTAAACGTTTTGTATTTAATTTATTTGAAAAACTGAGAAAAATAATAATGAACCCATTTATTGACACTTAGGTGCCATATCATCAAAACAGTGAGCGCTAAAATGAAGTTTCCCCTAACGGTAAGCATACAAATAAACTGAAGTCTACTTTTACAAGTCCTTATGCGTATGAATTCATACATAATGGGGGAAATGCTGAAGTGACACCTATATGACAGCATTTATTCAATAAACTCCCACGTTTCCAAACACAGCTTGTCATTGATAAGATCTATTCCTCACAAATGGGCACCTCACATGCACATCCACCGTGCATTGAGAACATCTCCCATGAATATTTACTATTAAATACGGGAGATGTTCCCAATGCATGATAGGGTGTGCATGTGAGGTGCCACGTGTGAGGAGAAGATCTGGTCTCTTGAAATTGACCAGCAATCCAAGGATTTCATCATACCTTTTCTATTAATCCTTTAAAAATATCTAAAGGTAGAAATGTTTTTTTCGTTTTAGGTGGCAAGTAATTAAGCTTTTAATCATCAAGGTCAAATGCATCAATTCATATTTCATAATGTCATAATGAAAAATAAAAAAAAATTGCAAAACAATATAAAATTAATATTTAACCATGATAAATGTGAAGCATGAAAATACAAAAAAAAAAAAAAAATCAATGTATAACCCATGATATCAGATCATCCACTGAATCAACATTTTAATGCTCCCATTTATGAAGATCCCGTGTCAAATTTCAATGAATATTTTTACATAAAAATATCAAAGAATGAGACCTTCATTTTGTGACTTGATAAGAGCTTATTTTTTAATAGATACTTGACAACGGCTTTTCGGCAAAAAACCAAACGCGGCCTTAGAACTTACATGGATGCCTTTCCAACCATCAACCAATTTGCCGTGTGAAAGATTCATTGATCCCCTATAGTTGATAGGGGTGCAACTTGGGCGGGTCCAGCCTGAGTCCGAACTGGCCGAACCTAGACTGGGCCCAAACTCAATTGCATCAAATTGCAAGGTGAACTGGACTCGGATTGGAAAAATCAGGCTTAAACTCGGATTTAGGCCTTAAACCCAAAATTTAGGGCCGGGCCTGGGTTGACCATAAACCCAGCCCAATCCGCCCAAATTGCACCCCTATTAGCTGACGGTGTCCCAACCATCTAGGGAAACTGAATGATACCCAACCAATCACGATATGTATGGACCCCATGCATATGGAGCGTGGCAATCATGACTTGTTTAACCGAATCGTGCAAATCGAATTGGTCTTTCGGTTCAAACAAAACCCGAACCAAATAAATCGATTGACCAGTTTTGGTTTTTGATCCGTTTAGTTTTATTTTCAATTTTTATATTTATTATATATTATAAATAATAAATAATATATTATTTATATATATAGGATGGTTCGATTAATCACCGGTTGTATTAGGTTAATTGATAACCGAATCGAAATCGAACCGATTGAATTGATTAACGGAATTTTTCGATGCGGTTCGGATCGGCGGTTTATGATCGTAAATTCGTAATTTACGAATATTGCGAGAACACGCCTCCATTTTAAAATATAATTTCTCAAGCCACCGTCCACGTGCTCGGACTTCCTTCTTATTAACCGACAATTTACCTTCAATCCCTCGATGCTGACTTCAAATTTCAAAAAAATATATCAATCATTCAATCCATTTAGGACATTAACTGAAAAACCCAAAAAAGGGCCCCTATTTGTAATAACTGAAAATTAGTGCCCTTCAGAAAATTAAAAGTTATTGCATTTTTTATTGGATATTTTAATGAAGGACCCCAACCACTATATAAACTCACTCTGGCCCCTCCTTTCCTGTGCTACGACAAACAGCTTTCTAGCTGCAGGGAACGTACTCTGCTCCACTTCGAATGGCGATTTCCGCCTGTAAATCATCAGCAAAGACAATGACGACCGACGAGAAAGAATGCGGAGCCACCACAACAATCTCCGCCCTCCACCCCGACGTTGTTCAGGCGCACATACTCACCCGCCTTGACGGTCCGTCCCTCGCCTCCGTCTGCTGTGCGTCTTCTCAATTACACGCTCTCTCCAATGACGAAAGCCTCTGGAGAGACATGTGCCACTCAACGTGGCCTTCTACAGACACCCCACGCATCCGTGACATTGTCTCCAGCTTCCCGGCCGGCGCCCGCTCTTTCTTCTCCGACTCTTTCTCTCTGCTAGTCTCCCCGCATGACCAAGCACCACCGTCGAATCTCAATCCTCCGGTTTCCCCTCCTGAGATAATCTCCGCTGTGGATATTCATTACCGAGGCAACCTTCTATTCTCCAAGGCTCACGAGACAGAGACGCTATCCGGCTGGTTCCGGTGCTCGCCGTTCCGCGTCGACCTTCTCGACCCGAAAGAAGTTGTTCCCACACCAATAACAATCAGCGACGGCACGTGCCAGGACCTCGCGGAAAACCTGAAGCTGAGCTGGATCGTGATCGACGCCACCGGGCGGCGAGCGGCGAACCTTTCGAGCTGGAGGCCGGTCTCGGTGCAGCGGCACTGGCTGTCGAGGGAGATACACGCCCGGTTCGCGACGATCCTGGCTGGAGATCGGGGGTCGACGGAATTCGTGCAGTGCGGGATAGTCGTAACCTGTGGAGGATGCGAAGGAGGGGAGATGCAGATGAGGGAGGTGAGCTTGCAGGTGGAGGACATGGATGGAACAAACTTGAACGGGAAGGACAGTTTGGTAATTATGCAGAGAGCGATGCAGAGGGGAGAGAGAAAGAAGGGAAGGAAAGGGGAAGGGAAAGAGAGATACGAGGAGTTGTTGAGAAGGAAGGCAGAGAGGAAAGAAAGGAAGCTGAGACGCGAAGGGCGGTTGGATTCGATGTGTATGGCTTTTTCCGTCTTGTTCTTCGCCTCCGTTTGGATGCTTTGCTTGTTCCGGTAAAATCAGCTTTTGTTATTATTATTACTTTTTTTTTTTTTTTTACTTTTTAACTTTGGAGGAGGGGGTATTGATTGTACGGTTAAAGGGTTAGTTATTACAGTTAAAAAGCCGAAGAAAGAGGCAAAGAGCAGAGCCAAAATAAAGGGGACGAAAGAAAACCGGCCATCTCCTGTCCCCAAATAACTTGGTTACTTGTACAGTGAAACTATGAATAAATATTGATATTTAATTTTATGTTGGAAGTTGAAACAGTGTGTTCATGTTCAGAACTTCAAATCATTTAGTGATGGTCTGGCTCCAACTCCCAACCTTCTGATCATCTCTGCTTTCTTATTTCATAATCACAAATAATCAGTTATAGAACTTCTTTTCAGTGCTTTCAGACTTCAGGTAAGAGAAAGGAAGACTGGGAGATGAATGGAGTGTACGTCTGGTAGATGTGTTTTTGGGGAAACAAAGTGAAAACATTTCTAATTTGATTTCGAATAAGCCCATATTTTTAGAAACAAAATATGTTTTCATTTTTAGAATGATAACTTGGCGCACACTGAAAATTCTTTTGACACTGCTTAAATGTGATTATATGTTATATTGTATATTTTATGTATAAATATAATAATATGACACCTACAATATATAATATTTTATATTATATATTGTATAAAATAATTATATATATTATATCATTTAATATAAAATATTATATATAAGACATATATCTGAAATCAGGCCTGATCCAACTATAGTCTTTATCATAAGTGCAAATGCAAAGCCCAGCTAGGGCCCAGCCCATGGTCACCCTAGCCTAAGGTATAAATAAAAAATTAAAAGTAAAAAGATAAAATTAACACTCATTTGATCAGAATCTTTATCCCATTATTTTAATATTTAATGCGAATACAGGTCTTGGGCTCACATCCAGACCACCACCACCATCAAAGTAAACATGTTTTCTGTGATTTTACATTAAAATTAATAATGTTTTCTAAACCACTGTACTCTATTTCTTGGAATGAAAACAACTTCACCTTCAATAACGCTCCTTATGTCATTTATGGTTTGGAAAATAGGAGAGAAACAAAGAAGTAGTAAATAATTTTTGTTTGGCTTATTTTTCTATCAAACCAAACATGGCCTTAGTGTTAAAAAGCTTCATGGTGCCCCATTTGATCAAACAAACAAATATGCCAAACCCTATTATTAGGAGGAACAATTTGGTAGACCTAGGTATCATGTCAAGGTTGGAGGAGGATTAAGTGGAGGGTCCTTATCAATCATCTCGTATGATTTTAATTTATATTTTTCAGTTATTGGGTAGCCTTCATCCACTAATTAAAACCCAACATGAATTGTTGTTTTCCTTCTCAGCAAATCCACATTTGGATTTTGATTTTATTTGTTAGGTATGGTCCGTATGGAGGCAAGCAACACACCAGCATCCTTGCAAGAAGTGACCACTCTCGGCTCGGCTTATTTATCATTTACACGAGCTCAAGTTCAGCTTAAATTCATGTTCCTTAGTTTAGTCTTTCTTTCAAGGTTTTTAAAATTGGATCGGACAGGGAATCGCTCTGGGTCAAATTGTCCGATAATTTGGTCCAAACAGACAATTCTCTCTGACAAATAAAAAATAAAAAACTTTAAAAAATGGCCAAAAACCATTTTCGAGTCAAACAGTTCAACGATCTGAATACTCTGACTAGCAGTTTGCTGACCAAATCAACAGTTTTTGGCCTAAAAGCAGTTTTGGGGTTAAACGAAACCGATCAGATGACCTGTTCCCAGTTTTTCTAGTTCAACCATCTGATCCAATTTTAAAAACATTACTCCCTTCGTGTCGAGTTCAGATATCCTACCCACAAGCTGTTCCCACATTTCTATTCACAAAACACTACAGGGACGCATTGAAAATATCTCTCTTATTCATGGGTAGGATTGTGGGGAAAATTTTGTTGATAGCAGATCCGGAGTGTTCTTATTTTACATAATATTTTGTCTTGTGTATATTTGGTGTGTAATTTCATTTGCAATAGTGCAACTGCATGAAAGTATAAATCAGAAACAAATCACTTTCGGTTCAAATTTGCTTCAGGTCTTACTTTAATCTGCTTTTATTTTTATTTTATGTCATTTACACTGCAGATAAACAAATAAAAAGTAAAATATAAAAGCAATAATAAATCAGAATGTGCACCAACTCACAGACAAATGAAATGCAATTGCAAACGAACTAAGACCAAATTTAGAACCTATGCTTTGAGACCTAGAATTAATGAAGATTAAAAAACAGAAACAGGCTAGAAATTATAGAGAAAAAAATCACCCGACAGGAAGCTTTAATACAAGACAAGACTTGCTCTGTTTTGTCCAAGCGGAGATATTTTGTTATCAACCCAAATGGCTCATGAGTTAGGAATACTTTTGGATTGGCTCGGTGCAATTTTATTAATAATAGCCCTCTAATTTGTTTTTCTAATTTAGAAATCTTTTATAAAGTTTTTTTTCTTAAATTAGACCCAAAAGGACCCTGCATAGTTTTCTAATCAACCCTAAGACCTTTCTACTTGTCCAAAATAAACACTCAAGGCCTCAAGGGCTTGAACTTTCAAGTGTTACAGTTAAATACAATGAATATTGAGCAAGTATATACTCAATTTCAACCGTTAGCATTCGGTTAGTTATCTTTAAAATCTCAAAAATACCCTTCTCCTCGACCTCCCTCCAAAAGGCTCCAACAATGAGCAAGGGTGGCTGGTTGAGATTCAATTCTCTCTCTCCTTTCTAGTCCATAATGCTAACTACTTATTTTGAAATGGATTTGTGTTTTTATTTATTTATTTATTTTGCTACCAAGACCCCAGACCAGACAATGTAGAAGACGATGAACAGACGAAGACCAACTACAACAGAAGAAAAGCAGAAAAGATGATGAAGAAATGGATATCAGGTAGGAGAAAGGTTATATAGGGCTGTCAATGGGTCAATTCTGGGTCGGAATCAGGTAGAACCTATCCTGGAACCGATAAGATGGTAAAAGGTTGATCCAACAAACAAAGTTATGGATTCAGAACCTCTAAAAAGTAGAAAAGCATATATACTTATTTTCAGATTTCAGACACAATATATCTTTTTAACTTTTCATATCTGAAATTTCAGATTTATCAAACACCACCGAAGTGAAACTATGAAAGAAGAATACTTCATTGGGGGGGGGGGGGGAGCATTTCGATAGGTTTTGAAATAAACCCCACCAAAATGACACCTTGAGCCTATATATAGGGTCGGGTCCAAATCGATTTGGGAAAAAGTGGACCCAATTCCAACCCGATAGTAATCGGGATTTTTTAAGACCCTGAACCAATCCATCAAGACAAATTCTAAAAGTAGAACCGGTTCAATCGGTCTAGACCCATCGGATCTGACCCAGCCCATTGATAGCCCTATCAGCAGAAGCGAACCACTAACCCCCACTGACACAGAGTTTCAGGAAGTTTCAATTTCCCACTAAAACTTAAAAAATGTCGGATCACCGAAGAAGTGGAGCAGAAGACAGATTCACTGAGTCAGAAGATAGATTCCCCAAAAACCGGATTTCCCCCCAAAATCGTTGATTTTGGTCAGTGAATTGCTGAACCGGGTGGCTAACCATTTGAACCATTCAAACGGTTTTGACTGTTTTTATTTTTCTGTCAGAACGGGCCAAGCGTTCGATTTGAACGATCGGACCATTCGACTCGGTAACTGAACCCCTGACCGGTTCGGTCACTGGGTCAATTTTAAAAACCATGCATTTTTCTATAAAAAAAAGTTGCTCCATACCACACCTTAGAAATCAGGAATGTGTGGTCTGGAGCAACACTAAATTCAATACTTTCTATAAAAACAATATATTGCGCAATGATATGAAATCATCTTAAACTTTAAATAATATTGAAAACGTTACTATCATTAATATACCAAACAAAACTCGTACTATTTACTCAAAAAATGCCTATATGTCAACACTGCTTCCAATTCACAATTCCACTCCACATGCCTATCACTTGCGATGTTCCAAACAGGGATGTCAAACACCTAATAAAAATTTAAATTATAGTGTAGTAATTTATAATTTTCTAAAAAAAGATTATAAGCTTGACTAATTTTTATATTTAAAAGTAGAATAATATAAGAAAATTATATTGAAATTTGAAATCATCTCGTAGTACTCCACCAACCATCATACGTTGCGTCAATTCCATGTGTTAATACAAGCTGTTTGAAAAAAAGAATAAAAAAAAAAAAACCGAAAGAAACGTGATCAATTCCATAAGTTGATTGTGAAAGTGTGAATAGGCAACGAATTAATTCTTTGTTGAAAGGAAAGGAATTTACCCTTTTTTTTTTATTTCATTTTCTAATTTTTATATCCAGCAAAGCGGAAAGTACCGTAATGATAATTGGCAAATTGCAAACATGTGATCGTGATAAGATATAAGGTAGGCCCTTCTACACAGAAAGTCAGAGTGGTGAAGCTATGTTTTGATGAAACTTTCGAAAAGCCCGAAAATGATCAAACTGAGAAATTGGTTCTCAGTGAAGTAGATTTTTCAATGAAGTTCGATCTACATTGAAGCCCTTCCAAACAAGGGTGTCAATTGAATCGGATTTGGATCAATCCAATCCGATCCAATATAAATTCATTACAGATGAATCAGGTCTAATTCAATCTGATGAATAATTTGGACTATTTTGGATCCATTCATACCATTCAATCAATTCAAAATAGTTTTAATTTGAACTGGTTCCGATTCAAACCTGATCCATTGATACCTATATTATCTTTTATCAATAGATCAAATATCGATTCAATCTGAATCAATCCAATATAAATTCATTGTGGATGAACCAGGTCCAATTCAATATGTATTATTGGTCTGTCCAATCTGAACGGTCCAATTCAATTCGCTATTTGGATTTCAGGTCAGCTTTTTTGGTGGGATCGGATCCAGATCCTCTTTTAGGAATTTCTATGATAAGCGAAAGGTATGATAATTGAAAACTTTAACCAATAACAAATCCACATGAATTTAAATGAATAGCAATTGATGTGACAAATCTCTTTTACAAATGGGAAGATGCCACGTAGTGCACTTCTGAGGATATTCTCGACAACCAAACTGAGCCTTAGCGAGCGACACAAAAAAAAGTCTAATCCATGATCATGAATTGTGATGGCTCCCCTTTAGTTAAATATACCCTGTGGTTTGACTAAACTATTTAAATATATTTCATGATTTTCAAACCACTTAAAAATATAGGTTGTTAAATGGCTCCACCTGAAAAGACCATCTGTGAAACATTTGGATATCACCTGTTTATTATGGGCCCGTTTGGTGTGTTTTTTGAAGATTTTTTTTGTAATTCTAACAGTCAAAAGATGCATTGAGTTTTTAACATAAGATCTTGGCAGTTTGAAGACAGTTTGGCAGATGTATATCTTTCCGTGTGAAATTAAAACACGAAAGACAAATGAAGCTTTTCGAAATTAGTCCAAAATGGCTTCTCGCATCTTTTTGGTGCATCGTCTTTTGACGGTTAGATCTTTTGCGAGCCAAATGGGAATAGACTGAAAATCAGACTTCCCGGCTTGTAAACAGCCGAAAGACCGTACGAAAAAATATGCCAAACGGACCGATTTCTATGAATCCATCGCCAAAGGAAGCTGATAAAAGCCGAAACCACCATGCAATCTGGGTAGCTATTGCTTCACATAAACCAGCAATTAGGATGTAACCGTAACCGTAACCGTCAAGGACTTCAAGTTCTTGTATACAAATTTACAGTTACAGTTCAATGTTCAGATCAGTTTAGGATGGAAAGAGATAATGTAAGTCATGGAACGGAACAAATTCAAATCAGGAATTTGCATTTAGGTTGTATTTGGTTTGAAGGAAAAAGTAGGGAAAGGAAGGCAAGGTTAAGGAAATCTTTACAAAACTTGTATAGGCTTCCATACCTTTTCCTTTAAACCAAACATATCCTTCGGGAAAGCTATAGATTTTCAAACCAAACACAACCTTGTTGAATAACAATCAGGTGCATATTTTGAAAATTCAAGAACAATTAAGGGTATTTTTTACTTTAACTGTTTCCATTAATCTTAACGGCTAAACACTTTAACAAAATATATTTAGGGAGCATTGGAAGCCATAAGGTATATTTAAGTAATTTATTAAAATCACAGGCTCACATGGCAAATTTCCCCATTCCTAGACAATAAATTGGGACAAGGTGGGGGATGGGAAAAATATTTTTGTCTCAAATCAGAATTTGCATTTAATTCTTCAAACCCACCGTGTATCTAGTGATAAATTATTAAAGTATATTTTGATTTAACATTAATTTCTAAAATACTTATGAATGCATGCTTTTGAAAATCAGACCGGATTAGACAGTCGGACTGGTTGACCCAGGAACTGGTTAGGTAACCGGTTCCATTTCACCCTAAAACCGCTTGTGGGCCAAAGACTGTTGATTTGGTAGCAACCTGCTGACTTTACCATCGACATGTCGGCCTGGACAATGGTTTTTTGTCATTTTTATTATATTTATTTATTTATTTAAATCAGAAAAGGCTGTCTATTTGAATTGGATGGTCAGACTATTTGACCGGGGAACTGGTGGCCAAAATGATTCCATGTCCAGTCCAGATTTTAAAACCTTGTCTGAATGTTCCCAAATTCTTAAAACTCTAATCTTATAATTCCATTTCTAAAATGTCCCAAATTTTCATGATCTTATTTTTAAACTATCCTCAAATTTTGATATACCTTTAAATGATTGTCGAGCCGGTTACGTTACCATTCCTAAATCCTAACCAAAGCCCACAGGCACATTTAAGCAAGATGGATGTCAAAAATAATCCCCACTAAACGCACTCACAGATATGCAAAAGTGTGGAGACATCCATTTTTCTAGAAGAACTAAATACCAAGGTTTTAAAAACCAACCCGAAAGCAGAAGCGCTGTAGCCACTGGTTTCCAGGTCAGTGGTTCGATAATACGGGTTGAATGGTTCAGGCAATTTGATGAGATTTCAATATTAGGATTAGGGCTTCATTCCTTTTACTCTTTTATGGGGGAAAAGAAAGTGGTTTTCGGCTGAGAGAAAGATGAAAATTAGAAAGAAAGAAAAAAAAAAAGGAAAGAAAGAAAGGAAAGAGAGAAAAGAAAGAAAGGAATGGATGGAGGGAAGGAAGGAGGAAGGAGTAGATGGAGACAGCGGCATTCACCGATGATGGCGACAGAATCTAGGGGTGTACAATCAGTCGGTTCAGCTTGGTTCAATTAGAACTGAGGACCTAATTAACTATTCAGTTTGACCATTTTCTCCAACCAAACCAAACTGACCCTAATTGAATTTGATTCGGTTTTCGGTTCGGTGGAGCCCTAATTCCATATAAATGACAAACATTGATCAACAACTAATAAATAATTTATAATTAATAAGTGTTATTAATTAAAAGTTAAAATGGCCCCAAAACCCAATGGTTTTAATTAATTTATTATTAATTAAAAGTTAGATTGCCCCAAAGCCCAATGGTTTTAGGATTTGCGCCCCTTGAGAATTACTTCATTGCATCCAACAAAATTATTGCTATATACCTAACCTCTGACTAGTGGTTGGGAATGCTATTACTAATTCTCAAGGTGGGCAATAATATTATAATTAAAAGTTAAAATTTTGTTGGATGCAATGAAGTAATTCTCAAGGTGGGCAATCCAGCGCGGTTTTGGCTACTAAAATTTTCTCTACGAAATTTTATTTAGGGCATTTTTATCATTTTGTTCATGGGGCTACAGAGTGCATAACGGAGAGTACCCAAGTGGTGTGTCATAAAAAGCAGACATCGCCCATTTGCAACTTTTACTTTAAAAGTATATTAAAAAGGGTATGTAGTCACTAAGGTAATTTCTCACGACCATCAGGGGGTTAAAATTTTCGTCACAGATAACAATAAAGGAGGCTAAGTGTCACAACCCCCAAAGTACAGAGGGGCCCCTGTAGTTTACCCAACTAATTCCCCCCTCCTTGCTGAAGTTGTAAAGAAGAAACTATGATGGGCGCTTTCATTTTCCTTCTGTTTAATTACTTTCGTATTTCATTAATCTCTTTTCCCTTTATTCAGCACCTTGTTTCTCTTGGATATAGGGTATTATACTAGGTGCTGCCACATTAATGGAACTAAGTACAATGTGGCAACTGCCACTAGGATTTGACTCAAGATGTGCCATAAAAAAGACAGACCAGACTAGGAACACCAATCAGAAGTAAGCATGCCAGTGTTCCAATACTGTTACCAGATGAACCAACTGATGTGTTTACTTCTGATGTGGTTTTTCTAGCCTGGTTTATCAGACAATCATATTTTGAAAGAGCTCAACTTCTAATCTAGAGGGAACATAAATTCTGATTGTATTGTACAAGTTACACTATCTAACCAGATAACTACAAGGGTGAAAGCACAAATGAAAAGTAAAGAAGCACAACTTCAAAACTTGAAGCAGATTGGTTACCTGGAAGATGACCATCTGCAGGATAATCTCTTCCAAGCACTAAAAAATACACTTCTCCCCCATGTTAAGCATCCCACATTGATTGCCCACCCATTCCAATTTCCATTCCAGGTGACAATAATTGGAGTGCAGAATGTCCTGCCCCCAGTTTCTTTCTCGCTTTCTTTATCTTAGCTGGGAATGTAACTAAACCACCAACAGATTTGATGTCCTGAATAGATTCATGGTCCTTTCTATTACCATCCTTCAAATTCTTAGCAGTTTCAGAAGAAATAATTTCCATGAATGGAGTTTCACCATCATCGATGATGTCAAGCTCGTTTTTTTCTGCTTTCTTCTGCTTTCTCTTTTCTTTCTTGTCCACGGCGGTGACATCATCCTTGTCATGAACTGAAGCATTTCTCTTTGAGAGTTCCTCGGTTCTTTTCCATTTTTTCTGCTTTACCTCTATTTCAACATCATCAGCATCCTTGGTACTTCTAGAGATCTTCTTGCTTACCCTAGGGTTTTCTATCTTAACCTCATGTTTTTCTTCCAGATCAAGAGCACTTTTAACATGAGAATCATCAGTTTCATGATCCTTGATATCTTTCTTGGAGACCTTCTCTTTTCTGCTGCTTCTCTCCATAGGCCTAGCATTAAATATCTGCAAGTTTGGCACATATTTTTTGATCTGCAGTAACATTTTTTCCCAAATTAAAACAGAATAAATGATTAATAGGGTAAATTTGAAAACAAGAGAGAGAGAGAGAGAAGGTATGAGAATACCAATAAAAAAAATGTAAGAATTTCTATTACCTTCTTAGCTAATTTTTCCTTTTCAGCTATAGGGTTTCCCTGTAGATTCAGGTTTTTCAGGTTGCGTAAGGAGGATATTACCTACCATTTAAATATGTAGCCAAGATACCCAATGAGTAAATAAAATTTCAACAATCTAAAACAAAATGAAGCAAAGGGACAAACAAAGAATATGTAAGTGACTGACCTTCAGGTCTGACCAGCTTGTGATCAAGTTGTTTCCAACATCCAGGTTTTGGAGCTTCACATTGTGAGCCAACTCATGTGGGAGTGTCTTGTTTTGAGAAAGAAGGGGGGGGGGAGTAAATATCAGTTGTAATCACCAAAAAGGATGAATAATTTAACAGAAAAAGCAAATGGTAGAATAAAAGAGGGAAGGAGGAACTGAGGGAGTAAATATCAGTAAGGACAACAAAATGGTACTTAACTAACTTGCATGGAAATTTTGTTTAAGGATAGCTTTTCATAGAGGGTTGAAAACAATTCTTGACACATACCATGATCTCATTGTGTGCAAGTCGAACCTCTTTCAAATCCACGCAGGAAACCAGTGAAGAACCAATTGATCGAATTTGACAATTGGAGAGAGACAGCTGGAAGGATTCCCAAGAGCTTTAAACAAATATTAATTAAATACCTATGAAGAATGAAGTGTAAAACCAAAATTTCTGCATACTTTTGTGATTGATTTCGACTTGACCAACGAATTGCCAATATTGAGAATTGGATTTCTAGAAAGAACTGCAGACATATCCCAAAAGCCAAAGAACTTGGTTATGTTTCAAAGAAGAATATGATAACAAAAAGTTTCCTAGGACAATTGTTTCAACAGTATTGCTGCAAATATGTGCATGATGATGTTTTTTTAATCAATTTATGAAACTGAACAATTACAGATTAGTAATCTTTTAATCTCTGTAACTGCACCCCCCCAAGAAAAAATAAAAAAACAAGGGAACTTTTTTCAGGAAATTGACAAGGTAAGCAGTTTTGAAAAATAAATAAAGGCCCCTCTGTGGGAATTCTTGTATGTTCTTCTATACATAAAAAAAGTAACTTAGATGCACTTCTCACTTAATTGTCAAGGCGGCACCTAGGCGACAAGGCAAACTTATATCCATACAACCAGAATCTCTATCTGAGTATGTTATACTATATGAAACATAATATAAAACCTCCAGAGCAAATCATGTTTTGGAAACTAGAAATTCAAGATCTTATTCCTGGTTTCACTTTTGGATAAACAAAAAAACTACAAAACCAAGAATATGATTTTGTTTCAATAAAGTGATGTTTTTCCAAATCATTTGTAGGGCCTAGTTTTCTTGAAATCACAACAAAGAAAACAATTGATGTTGGAGAGCACCCCCTTAATCAGCCTCAGGTGCTAACATGTTTTCTGTTGTTCTTGTGGCATAATGTACAATAAATTCAGGTTTACATTAGTTAAAAAAGATTTAGGCCCCATTTGGTTTGTGGGAATAGGGGTCCAGAATCAGAATCAGAATGAGCTATTCCGATTCCAACTGTTTCGTTGGGCAGAATTGGAATTCCATTTCCATTCCTGCAGGAATGGCATTCCCCCATTTGAGGGAATGGACCATTCCAATTCCAATTCCAAAGGATTTCAATTCTGATTCCGATTCCGACTGTCCGAACCAAACAAACTATTGGAATGGACCATTCCAATTCCAACTGTGAACCAAACAGACATAGACAACACATAAGCAAAATTTCACAAAATATATTGCTTGAACCTTGAATGATGCAAATCCAACAAATAGTTCAAGGCTATATCAGTTGAAATAGATATAAATATAGAATTATTGAAAAATCAAAAAGTATTAACAATAATTTAAATCAAATTAGCTCCATCTAAAAAACAGAGAACTTGGGAGAAAAGACATTTATACCAAGAGTGTTCAAGTCCTTTAGTTGATCAAGCATACAAATGGAAGATATCTCATTATCTGCCAAAACAAAAAGAATTAAAGAACAAGGAAAGAAAAGTCACCAGAAGGCACAATAAAATACAAATAAGAAAATTATAAGCCCCATGTTTCTTCAACTAATAAAACTTAACTGCTCAAGTATTAAGAATAAAATACCCATCAAAAAAGCATTAGGGCTTGCCAAAGAACTGATTGAGTTAACCATTGGACTTACCATTCAAAATTAGTGCCCGTAAGCTTGTGAGGAACTTGACTTCATCCATTGATGTAAGCTTATTCTTGCCTGCATTTAAGACCTGGTTGACATAGAACAAGTAGCAAGTAAATTTGTCACAACCCCTTGTTCAATTCAGATTTCAGAGTGCAGATAAAGAAGCTCCTAAGTTCCCATAGTTTGCAAGGTGCCAAGGCAAAGCTAGGCAATAGGGAGCAAACCATGAATTCTAGGGTAATTCCCTAGGTTCTATAGCAACCAGCAACCATCTTTCATTGATAATTATCTATAAACTTCATAAAAAAAGTATAAGCTTCATATAAAAACATAACATATTTATGAGAAGAAAAAAAAGAAAAGAAATTCCAGAAATATAGGGGCTGAGCCCCTATCTAGGAAAAGGGGCTTATACTTTTTCCTATAAAAAGAAGAGAAGAAGATTATGGTGATGATTACAACAATGCTAACAATGATGATGTGTTGATTGGACAGAATTTTAAGTTCTTCCTTGCTTATTGGTTCAGGCTTTGAAGGTTCAAGAGAGCATATACACCATGTGTATTGATTGAACCCTAACAAATAAGAAAATAATAAAAAAAGAAATTAGTATATAAACCCAAAAAGGACATTTTGGTAATAATATCTATTTAATTATTATAATATCAAAAACAAAAAAATATAAACGTTTTTCATAGCAGCATGTACAAATTAGGTAGGCAATTAAGTGAGGCAACCATCCATGTGCACTGTCACCTATGCGGGGAAAATATCACTTTAGCTCAATAAACAGAACAAGAAGTTAATAGCAAATGATAGGGAATATAGAAAGCAATACGAATGCAACATTTAACTTTTGGGAAAATTCCTGATTAGCACCCTGTACTTTGGGCCTAGTGCCACTTTGGTCCCCGAACTTTAAAGCACAACAATCCAGTACCCGAACTTTCAAAACATGCCAATCCAATGCCTGCCGTTAACCATCCATCAAGTGGCATTTCAAAAGACACAAATGCCCTTCAAGTGTTATCTAATTCTCTATATCAACCATCCAAACGTTAACAAAAAAATACAGTCCCAAATCCTTGCCTCTTCAGTTAATTTTTTGTCAACGTTTGGATGGTTGATAAAGAAAATTAGATGACACCCGGAGGGCATTTCTGTCTTTTCAAATGCCACTTAATGGCTGGTTAACAATAGGTACTGGATTGGCACGTTTTGAAAGTTGGGGTACTGAATTGTCATGTTTTAATGTTTGAGGACGAAAGTAGCACTAGCCCCAAAGGCCCAAAGTACAGGGTACTAATCGGGAATTGTCCCCCAACTTTTTTGTTGATAGACAGACCAAGACAACATTTTAACTTGTAAGTCAATAGCTAGTTATGCTCCCTTAAAACTCTCACAGTCCTTCCATTCGTATGGTAATCAGGGTTTAAGACAAAACTCCAAGAAGAACAAGGCTTGCAAAGTATTGAACAAAAAGCAGATTTAGGTTAATAACTATTTAACTGCAATGGCAAGTGAACGCAACTAGTAATGGAAGTTTGTTTCCATTTGCTACTCACCGTAAGCTTAGAGAAGCTTTCAATTCCTTTCAAGCTCTGGAGTTTGTTCTGTAGAACTGATAACCACTTCAAATTGATGCATGCCCTTAAGCCCTAGTGTAAATTTAAGAATTACAGAGTAAGATTCCCCACATATATTTCTAGTGCACGAAAATAGAGCGGGAAAGCTACAGTTTGAGCAGTACCTCGAGCGAGGAAAGATTGTTGAAGCCAAGATCAAGCCTCTCTAAGTTCTTGAAGTCACTCAAACAAGAAACCTGCAGAGAACAAGAATTTCAGGGGAAATGTATAAATCAATGTGGCACCAGTTGAAGACTCGACAAAATGAGATGATAACTAAGAATACGCGCATCAGATAGAGCTTTATGGTGAAGCATAAGAGAGGTAATGGAATCGCGACTGCGACCCTGGTTCTCTTGTAAGACCCGTTCAGAGCTCAAACAATTCATGTCTTTCCGCTCAAAACCCTAGTTCTTTGGCACGAACAGTGTAGTCCAGTCCACTAGTCGCTGAATTGAAACCTGAAAAGAGGCGCCCATGTCATCATTTTCGTAAATTCCTAAAATACCCTGATATTTGAACAATTTACTAGGGGTGCAAATGGATCGTACCGATCCCAAGTGAGGTCCTATTTTGTCATATTCGGATATCAAAGATCAGATCTTTGGCTTTAAATATAACTATAAATATTAATGAAAATTATATTGATTTTATGAGAATCAAAATAAATAGTTCTTTCATCATTTTTCAATGAATACCATTTATGTCCCAATATTATTTATATTGTTCTTTTGTAAAATTTTTATATTATTTATTTTTTATAAAAAATGTATGTATATGATAAAAATAGTTGGAAAAATACTTGTATTTTTTTGTTTTTTTATTTAAACTATTATATTTTCTTTTTCTTTTAATCATTTATTATTTTTTTTAAATGAAATTAAGTCAGATCAAATTTAGATATCCAACATCTTAATCGGATTTGAATTCGAATGAATATTTATGAGATCCGATCAGATTTATAATGTATCGGAATCAGATTCGAATATACCCTGATTTGAATCCAATCTGATCCATTTGTATCCCTACAATTTACATAGCATGGGCCCAGATTTTTAGGCCGGTCCCATTCAAATTTTAACAAATCCTCAGCCCAGGCCAGACCAAGTTAAAATTGCACCCCTTATTATCTGTAAATCAGATGGGAAAATTTTCAAACCAAAATGTTTTAGACTTTTAGCTATTATAATATTGCTGAGTTGTTTTTACTTTCAAAAACAAACAAAAAAAAATGGCATTGGCAAACACCCCCTATTTACCTCTTATAGAAAAAGGGAAAATCTATGATGTGAGAAAGACATGGTATAGAAAGAGTTTTGACCAATCAAAACCCAACCATGAATTTTGATAAATAACACCTGATTGGCTATCATGTTCATAATTCCAATTGATTAGTCAAACATTTTTAGGATATAATATCTTTTCGATATCCTAGTCGAACCCATAGAAAAAACTAAAAAATTTGTTTCCACTCCTTTTCAATTTGCCTTTAAACTTCTATTTATTACAATATAAAATTTGGCTAAAATCTTGTTAGGATGGAATATTTGAATGATGCCCCTTCTATGACGAGTACTTTGTTTTCTTTGGCATACATATCAAAAACAAGATTCAAAATATCACAATGTATTGATTTGTATCAGTTGATACGTTCCGCTTTGAGACTTGTGGGCATGTGGCACAGGTGGAATAGACGAAACACTATTTTATTCCATCCATGACACTCGCATCGCTGATACATTACATTTTTTAGAGTAACCCCTCTTTTCTCTCTCATTAATAAAGGGTTTGTTTGTCGTATCTTTTTGCACAGTCTTTCGGCTGTTTACAAATCGGGAAGACTAAAAATCAGTCCATTTCTATTTGACACGCAGAAGATCTAGCTGCCAAAAGACAGAACGCCAAAAAGACGCGAGAAGCCCATTTTGAGCTGATTTCGGGAAGCCCCAAATGATGCTTCTCATGTTTTTTTGCATTTTAATCTCGCACGAAAAGACACGAAACAATTCACGGAAAGACACGCATCTACCAAATGGTCTTCGAACTGCCCATACCTTATGTCAAAAGCTCAATGCGTCTTTTGACTGTCAGAACTACAAGAAGATCTTCTCAAAAATACTTGCCAAATGGGCCCAAAGATTTAAACCTTGGTCATTAGATCAAAAGACCATAGGTCCAACAATATACCATACTGTAATTGTTTATCATAATTTTATGCATTTTGTTATTTGGCTTTAAATTTTCTATTCTTAGTGGATGTTTGTCAATGAGTGTGAAAATCGATCATTAAAGTTTATATAACTATAAATATTAATGAAAATTATATTGATTTTATGAGAATCAAAATAAACATACACATTTTAGTTCTTTCATCATTTTTCAATGATTACCATTTATGTCCCAATATCACACACTCTAAACTATTTAAGTATTTTTTAGCGTGTAAATAACTTATTTATAGTCAACTAAAACTTGTATTTATTGTTGTCTATATATATTTTTAGGATTATTTAATCTTCCTAGCATTTCCATGCATAATACATCTCGTAGATTGTCTTTCCAATACCCTTTGCATTTCCAACACTTTTAAACCTTGAACGAAGTCAACAAATTCAAAAGGAAGAAAAATAATAGCTGGAACATTTCAGACTGAAAAATTTTAAGTCCATTTAGGGAGAAATAAACGCATCCTTAATGTTTGGAATTTAGTAATCATCCTATCAAAAGGGGTGTGCTAGACTGCTAGTATCATGGGCATTGTCCATCCATCACAGATGGTGAGTCGATTAAAAAAACTGGCCATGTCATCATGTTGAAAGTGTAAGAATCTCTCAAATATCAGCAACATGGCCGTATTTTGATTGGCCAACTGTTGAATATGCTAGACTATTGCTGTAGCAAAAATGAGCTCGGCAAAAACATAAAAATCCAATGCAAACCCAATTGCAAACTTGGGATAACCTTAGACAGCCAACCCTTGAAACCGAGGCAGGTCCATTGTCCTTCATCGATTCCCTTTATTTGAAAGGATAAATTACTAGAACTTCTCCTGCAATTTCTGAAATTCCCCTCTTAAACGGGCCCTATCGCAAATATTTGCTAGAACTTCCTCGTGTAAGATATCGACCACATTAGCTTACTGAATGTCGTCAAACCAATAATTTGATACCACAATAACACATGAGAAAGAAAATTTGAAGAAAGCAAACCAAACAAAATAGACTAATACCTGTAAATAAATGAAAAATCAATATGCATAAGGGTAAATATGACCATGAATAAAGGAAAATGGATTATGATGGCATGCAGCAGGGCTATACTAAACATGTAGTAATAGTTGAGTTGGGTTGCTTGAGGGGTCAACCCAAAACTCAACCCTAACCCTTACTTGATGATCAACCAAACCAATCCAGGGCTAACCGGGCCCAAGTTGCAGCCCTAGCAGAAGCATTCTCACAACCAGGTCAAGTTATAGATAGAAAGTGAGCCCAGTTCCCTACTTCCCCAGAGGGTTTGACACTTGAATTTATATTTTGAAATCATTTGATTCTAAATGCTAAGTTTCTATTTATTTCTCCTAGCTAAAATAATTACAGACAGGTTTCCAAACAGATCAGAAGGATCTGGATTTGTTACATTATCCTTTCAAGATAAGTAAAATACCCTAATAGAAATGCACAGAAGGTAAACTAAATATTGAATTGGGTCTTGAGCCAAAATTTGACTTGCATTGAAACCAAAAATTTGTTTTCTTGCACAATAAAAATAGAATTTCAGACCCCTCGACCAATTGCTAGACCTCCCCTATCTTATGTCAACCTAAGCTATAGTGTACCAACAATGCACCACCATCGCTTTGATCTGTGGCGATACCTGGGGGAACTGCTCTATGACTTCTACAAGAGTTCAGTGTGAAGAAAATATAACATGCTGCACTCAAGCCATTTTAACCTTGCGGGATGGAGGTCGCCGGAATAAGCTGATGAGATCATCAAGACCCTGTTTGAAGAAAGTAGAGATTTAGAAACTTTATAGAGTTAGGATAAATAATATCTAAGAAATTAAAAAGCATACCCTAGTTGTGATGACAAGAAAGCTGAACAGAATTATCAAATAGGAACCCAACACAAGTAGCAAGAGCAGGTCAAAAGTCACACTAGCAACCTGCAACAGCATAAGCATATTTTGTTAGGTTTTATTCTCAAATAGGACCACTTTTTAGAACAAATAAAAGTACACAAGCCAGACAGTATATGAGTAGGGCTGCATGTCAGTTTGCCCAACCCAAGTTGCATTGCACCCCTGTATACAAGTATGATCAACTATACAAAAGGGTAGAGTGGCTAAGCATGTGTCGAATTCCTTCAATAATAACATCCAAGTGTAATAGATTGGGGGCATTACCCCAAACCACTGCATGGACTCGTCTGGGCTTGCCTTAAGGGACCTTTACTAAGGCAAAGGATCAACCTCCTAGGATTAAGAATGCGAGAATGTCTCAAAGAGCCAATTTTAAGTACCTGAATGCATGGGCTTCTTGTTTTGAACAATGTTAAGCAATCAAGAAACATGTTCAAAAAATGAGCATGAAAGAATCGTGAATGGTTGATATAGATGAACAGAAAAACCATATAGGATTAGAAATGATTTAAGGGCTCATAACAATGGATATGGCATTGAACAGAACAGAATGGCAGAACAGAACTTATGTAGCTGATGCCATATAGGTGGGACAAGGCTTAGACGATGATGGAAGAGAAATATCAAGACGACCTCACGTAACCCAAGCAATCCAACACCCCAAGGATTAAAAGGACAATGGGACAGATGGAACACTGACAATAGATACATTTCCTTAATTTCCTCCCTTCTTTCATTTTCTTGGGCCATGCCTATACTGACAATAGTACCACAAAAGGGAAGGAAGGAGGCAGTATGCAAGAGCTTTCTTGGGTTGGTATTACTTCAATGCAGTATAGGCTGGTATCTCTCCAGTTTTTTGTTTCAAAGTATTCTTCAAGTTGATTGCAAAAAGATATATTTCATACCAAACCAAGAAGAGATAAGTACCTGATATATATTAAGACTTGCTTTCGTCAAATCATAGAAAGTGAATATTCCATCAAGGGCCTCATGTTGTACATTCACCTCAGCAGTATGATCCGCTAATTCCTGCCAAAGAGAATTGATTGCGTGAGCATGTCAACATCAGCCATACTGCAAACAGAAAAAAAATAATAATAATAATAACACCGCCCAGTAAAGTGTGTCATAATGTCAAGGAGAATGCACAAGGCCAGAACTAATTAAAAATGACCTTTAGAGTAATTGCAAAAAAAAAAAAAACTAAGACCAAAAAAATATTTTCAGCAAAGAACCACATCTTCCTCAATTTCATAGCTGTATATGATGCTTTGAATACTGGACCAGATTATACAGTAGAACTATTTGAACCAATACAGCTAGGGTCTCCAGTTTCCAGATCTGAATCAATTGCCCTGCCTTAAAAAATTATTGACTTTGGTTAAACACCTCCAAGCCATAGTTGTCGAGTCGATGCCTAGGTGTCATCTAGGTGACTAAGGGCTTTTTATTGCTTGCAGCGCCCAAATGCCAAGCAGTTTCTATATCAAACTTTACAATATCTTACAATATTTTTGTATCTTTATATGAGCTCATAATATTAACATAGGAAATAATTAATGTTGCTGACCCCATATAGTTTGGTAAAGGTGATGATGATGATGATAATGGATAAGCTTGCATAATGTAGCAATAAGGAAGAAGGTAAGAAACCCTTCACAGGACTGATTCTATCTAATGATATTGGATGACCAATAAGGACCTCTTCAGTTTCTAAAGCGATCCTGCATATAGATATTTGACTCCACCTACAACTACAATCAGATTATTGTTGAAACTGGGAAAAAGAAGTGCAGATACTTTCAAAATACTAATATCCAATTCCTCTTTTCCAAATAGAACCAAAATGCACATTTGAAATTCAACTGCTATGATATCAAGCAGCATCTCCGCCAAGGTTTAAAGTATCAAAAAGGCAATTTTAAGAAATGTATCAGGATATGCTTTGGTTATGCATAGATACAGACGAAAAACTAAAATGCGCATGGATACACTATGAAACTCAAATAAATCCTAAAAAATATAGTAATAACAATAAAGTACAAGGTATGTATGACCATAAATAAGTATGAGGGATCAGGGCATAATCGGTAACTGTTGAAAAATGATAGAAAAACTAAAATGTGCACATATATACCTTGGTTTTTAGAAAATCAAAATAATTTGTCTTAATGTTTGTTAATATATAAACTTTAATAATCGATTTTAGCATTTATTAACAAACATCTAGGGTTGATCATCTCGGCCCGACCCAACTCCGAAATTCCAGGTTTGGAGTTGGGTTTCATGTTCACCCCAATAAACATCCACTAAAAAGAAAAAACTTATTTAAGGATGAAAATGGATAACATTTGAACACCAAAATGGATTTGGGCATAGTGGACTCATGGGCATTGTAAACGTGTGACCAAGGTTCGAATCTTCTTATGGCCTACTTTAGCTTTTACACCTAAGATAATGTGCATTAGGC